TAAAAAAGGGCCCCCTGGTCTTTCTCGACAATGAATCATCGGACGGTGCCTCGGAGGCTGCTCCCTTTCATCACTTCAACCAGTTCCTTCCATAACCTACAAATCACAATTAGAAACTTAAGCATGTGACGCCCCCACTTCTCCCTAAGGCGAACCAAAGTGAGATATGCCCAACTTGGGATGAGCTACACAGCCCAGCGAGATTCTAAGACACTCTAACAGTTCAAATAAATCAAGTAAGTTGGGCATATCATATGAATGGTTCAAGGTTACACAATGGCATGTTATCATGAGGTGATAATCATTGTACGGGTAATTTGAGACATTTATCATGGTATGAGACATTTATCATGAGACAGTTATCATGGTTCAAGACATTGTCATGTATAGTTCACGAGTGATTGGAGCTTATTACGGGTGCGAGTAATTAAGCATGTTACAGGTATGAAGCATTAACATGAAACAGGTATCATGATATGAGTACATTGGACAGGTAACAGGTATGGAGCATATCATAGGCATAGCTCAGGATTTCGTGTTGGCATTTTAGCATGAAACAATTATCATGATACAAGATAAACATATACTGTAGGATACGATATTCTAGTGGAACTCTGTCGGTCATTTGTGCCTTATGACTTCCGGATCCCCTCGGTTTGACTGGCCATCATATTATCCCTCCAATGGTAATATTCGAGTATACCAAAATGGTGGTCCAGGGTTCCAACCTACCCGACCGAGCCCAGTCCTGACTCGAGTAGGTCAGTAACCAAGGGCAGGGCCCAAGTTCAGCTTAGAACTTACAACATTCACAGATAACCAAGTAATTCGACAAAAGGTAAAATTAATCATTTGAGTAGGTCAAGTGAGGTAAAGTACACACTCGTCTAACAATGATGGACAGTTTCATATAACATGTGATTCATGATAATCAAGTAATCAAGTGGATACTTAGCACGTAAGCACGTAAGCAATACAAGTTGATTTCATGGGAGCATGTAATTCACGGATATCCAATAGTCATGTAGATTGAAATCATTGAGCAAATAGTCAAGTAATCAGGTAGTCATGTGGGTTGGTAAACGGTTAATGGTTAATGGTTAACAGTTAACGGTTGACGGTTGACGGTTGACGGTTGACGGTTATCGGTTGAGTAGTGATGGTTAATTGACAGACATTTGTCATATTAATAGGCCATCATTGGCCGTTATCCCATTTTTAGCATGTGAGAGTCGAGGAGATTCACTCCAACGACGTATGCAACCTTAGTATACCAAGTCATGTTATTCGAGCATTTCCAAGTGAGGAGGTGATTTTTGGCTGGTAACTAGACCGACCTGGATCAGTCCTCTCTGAAATGAAGTGAGGTGAACTCATGTGTCCGAAGTGAACCTCCTTGTCCGAAGTGAGTGGCGGGGCTTCTCCCCTGGTATCACTCCGACGATCAAGTTAGTATGAGAACGAGAATAATGAGAATGAGTTAATGAACAGTGTTTGCTTACTTGTTGGGAGTGTGAATGAGGTATTTATAGAAGAGTAGTGGTCAAGACGGAAGGCTCATGCTAGCGGGACCCACTCTCTGGAATTACGGCTCTGTCTCCTGTCAGGAGGTCTGACTCTGACACTGTAGCCGCCTGGGAGTGATGACGGAGGGTATGGTGCAGGTGCCATTAAGTGCCTCCAGTGCTTTTCAGATAAAGTGCTGGTCTTGGATGATGTCAGGTGGGTTGACATCATCAGCGTGCAGCCGAGGTGGATGTGCCGAGGTCGTCCACACGGTAGACTAGGGATGTAGCCGAGCTCAGGGGTTACGCTCAAGACAGGGATGAGCTCTGATGAGGGATGAGGCTCGGGTTCACCTCGGACACGCGGGGTGGCCGAGGTGAGCATCCTCAATAAGCCCCCCAAGCCTCGGGAGCTTCGGGCCAGGGAGGTACCGAGGCTTCCTTGTGCCGAAGCCATGAAGAGTTGGGGCCCCAAACCTGCTCCGGAAGATGCGGGGGCGTGACACGTGGGCGTGTCAGTTGAAGGGACTTGGAGTCAGTTGGCACGTAACCGTCACGTTGTGAAGTAGTGGGACGTCTCGTGCAGAGGGTGTCAGTCGAAAGGACGGGGCATTAATGAGGAGAGAGGGAGACGTGGCGTTTTGAATTCGAACGTGGTTGTCTTTTCGCATTCTGGCCGCCTCTTCGGATTCCCAAGAACCCCTATAAATAGAGGGTCCTTTTCACCGTATGGCCCATCATTTTCTCTCTTAGCTTGCGATTTGCAAAATTTACGTCTGTTGCCGAGATCAATCCTGCCAGCCGAGATCACAGCCGAAGTCATCCACTTCGTCCAATTCCGTAGACAATAGTAAGTATCCCTTTTCTTTCTTATCTCGTCTTTCACTCATGGCCAAAACGGCTAAAACCCACAAGGAGACCGTGACACCGAGCTACCAGACCGAGGTGAGGCCGGGTCCGGAAGAAGAAGCGACGACATCCAGCTCGGAGGGGTCGACACCGAGTTCTGAAGAAGGATCAACCGAAGTGAGAGTCGGCGAGGCAGGCTCGGGATTGGAATCGTCCGAGATGAGCGAGGGTGGCTCCGAGGTCGAATACAATACCGAGCTCGGGACCGAGATACCCCATGACGAGGGCGTACCGGAGCCAGTTGCTCCAGCGGACGCAGCCAACATCGACTTCGGCCAGATGCCGAAGTTTAGGAGTCGCGTAGAAAGAGATAGGGCCGTGAAGGTGGTAGACAAGTACCCCTTCCGGCCGTGGTACGAAATTTTGCCGCCCGAGATGGATGACACAGCCGCGGAGCCCCCCTTTGGCATGGTGGCCGTCTACGTTCAACAGCTGGAGGCCGGGCTGAGGATGCCGACGTCGAGGTTCTTCCGGGACTTATTTCGTCACTTCCGGGTGAGAATCACCCAACTCACCCCGAATGCGATCCGCATAATTGTGGGGTTTGAGATGCTGTGCCGACATCAGGAGGTGACTCCCTCCGTCGATCTCTTCCACCGATGCTACACCCTCAAGGCGCACGCGACGGATAAGGGATGGTTTTATGTTGGCAACAGGAACAATGCCATCCCGAAATTGATGATCGGTGCTCCCAACTCGATCAAGAACTGGAAGCGCGACTACTTCTTCGTGTCCGGAGTGGATTTTCCGAGGGGTTTTTGGTGGAGGCCAATTAAAGCGAAGGCCGACCCCTCTGCGGGGGATGCCGAAAAGGAGTCCTTCCAGAAGTTGATGAAGTCGGGACTTCGGCTGTTCAGCCATGACTACCCCGAATCCGTGCTCGTGGATGGGAGGATAAGTCGAGCCGTGATCAATACTACCAAAGCTCCCTTCTTTTCCATTGAACTTAAGAAACCTTGTAATTTTCTTTCATGATTTTTTTTTTCATTTCGGCTAAGGCATATGATAATATTTATTTCTTGTGCAGTGACTAAACTGTCCGACCTCGTCGTCTCTGGCTCGTCCGAAGTGGCCAAGAGGCAAAAGAGGAAGAGCACTGACGAGACATCGGCACCTCCGCCAAAGAAGAAGAAGTCACAAGGATTGGCTATCCAGACTTCGACAGCCAAAAGTACTCCCACCCCGGCAGGCCAAAGCAGCTCAGCCGCCGCGGCTACCGGGTCCAACTCATCTGTGCCAGAGGGGGTGCCCTTTGGAGCCGTCGCGGCACTTCCGCCTCCTCATGGCCGAGGCAAGCAGTTAAAGGCTCCGGTCAATCCAGTTTCGGGGACCTCGCTATGGAATCGTTTCCATAGCCCCCCGGTGTTTTCCGGGGAAGATAAAACGCACCCCGGCGGGCATTGGTGTCCGGACTGGAAGATTTCGGTCAACGACAGGTGCCAGAATCCTCGGGTTGCCCGAGAACTAGTCATGCACTTCCCCTTGCCAAGGGATTTGGAGTTCATGAAGAAGCTTTCCCCCGCCGAGCTGGTGCAAAGTCTTATGGTGACCACGGCTTTCACCTCAGCCTTTGCGGCCGAGATGACACACCGATATTGTGCTCTGGTCGATGAGTAGGACACCGGCAAGCTACAGAATCAGATCTCCAAGTTGGAGAAAAAATTGGCGGTGTCCGAGTTTGAGAAGGCCGAGCTTGAAAGGCGGCTTAAGGAGGCCGAGGCGAAGGATGAGGAGGCCGTGGCCACTGTCAACAGCCTCAGATCGGCCCTCGAGGAAGAGCAGAAGAGGGGGGAGGAGGTGAAGAAGTCCCATGAACAAGCCCTCAACAGTGCTGGGGCCTCGGCGGTGGACACATTTCGAAGGTCCGAGACCTTCATCAAAGATCTCGAGCAGCTACTCACACCGAACTTCATGTTTGGCTTTACCTCAGCCATAGATGAGGCTGCGGCTCACCTCACCTCCGAAGTCTTGGAGTTTCTGAAAAACTATGCCAGCTATAACGAGGACTCCAAGGAGCTATGCGATCGGATGGCCGAAGGCATCCAGACAGGAAGGAACTTGGCCGAAGTCCAGGTCGAGTTCAACAAGTGGCTGTCCGAACTCGACGAAGTGTTCGAGGAGGTGGAGGTAGAAGAAGCTGGAGGAGAGGACGCTGAGGGAGACGAAGCCGGAGGGGACGGAGTCGGAGGGGATATCGGCAAAGAGCATGGAGATGAACACCCCGGCGGAAAAGAGGCCGAAGAGAAGGCTGCCCAAGAGGGAGTCAAGACCGGAGATGGAGCCGAGACGGGGGTCTAGGCTCATAGGCTTTAGGGGGTGGCCGAGGTGGAGAGTGCTTAGTAGCATTCGGACCTCAGCCTTGTATTTTTTTTAGCACTCTTTTCTATTGAATGAAAGCATTTTTCTTCTCATCTCAGCGCTTTTTGTTTCTTACTTTGATTTCATCCCTTGTTTGTCCCCCTTATTTTTTAATAACGGATGTTGGGCATCATATTATTGAAAAAAAACTAAATAGCTGAAGTCATAACTTGACAAGATAACTGGATGAAGTCAACTTTGATGAAATAACTGAATGAAGTCACAACTTCAAGCATAATACAACCTAAGGTTCTCGGCGTGCCAAGACCTCGGCAGTAATGAGCCATCTCGGTAACTCAGTTTACAATACCCTTTAGGGTCAGATTCCACAACTCGGTAAGGGCCTTTCAATTTCGGGCATAATTTCCGTTGCGGCTCAGCTCGGCTGACTGAATTTTTCCTGAGAACCAAGTCTCCAGGACGGAATCTACGATGTCTGACACGGGCATTGTAATAGTGTGCCAGTGTGTTCTTGTATGAAACTATCCGGGCTGAGGCGAGGTCCCTTCGTTCTTCGACGAGGTCGAGGTCTAGCAGCCTCTCTTCGTCGTTCACCTCGGCGGCATAGGCTGCCAGCCGAGGGCTGGGAGTAAGGATCTCAGCCGTGATGACAGCCTCGGCGCCATAGGTCAGGGAGAATGGGGTTTCTTGCGTCGCTGATCTCGGCGTGGTCCGATATGACCACAAGACACTGGCGAGTTCCTCCACCCAAGATGACCCAACTCGGTGTAGTCGGGTCTTGAGGCCATGCAGGAGAGTCCGGTTGAAGTTTTCTGCTTGACCATTGGCCTGAGGGTGGCCTACCGAAGTGAAGTGTTGTTTGATGCCGAGGTTTGCGCACCAGGATTTAAAGGGGTTCTCGGCAAATTGCCTTCCATTATCCGAGATGATGACCTGGGGTATGCCGAAGCGGCAGATAATGCATTTCCAAAAGAATTTTTGAATGGCCAGCCCCGAGATGATCCGAAGTGGCTCGGCCTCGACCCATTTAGTGAATTAATCCACAGCGGTCACCAGGAAGGTATAACCCCCGACGGCTTTAGGGAAAGGACCTATGATGTCTGTCCCCCATTGCTCAAACGGCCAGGGTGAAGTGATGGGGACCATGAAATTAGAGGGCTGGTGATGCTCGGGTGCGTGAACTTGGCAGGAAGGACAGCCGAGAACGAGGTCTTGGGCGTCTTGCCGAAGTGATGGCCAGAAGTATCCAAGGAGCATAGTCTTCTTGGCTAACATCCTGTGACCGACGTGAGCTCCGCACAGGCCTTCGTGGATCTCGTGGAGGATATGACGTCCGACCTCGGGGGTGACGCACCTCAGCCAGGGGCCGAGGTAGGAGCGCTTGTACAGTTCTCCATCGCGGAGAGCGTACCGAGCCGCCTTGCGTTGTATTCTTCTCGCCTCGACTCGGTCTTCAGGGAGTGTTCCCTGACTCAAGAAGAGGATGAACGGGGTCATCCAGGTATCTTCGGAGTGCACGGGGCAGGCCACCTCTTCCACATATCCGGGTTCACTCAGAACTTCCACTAAAACCGTTTTGTTGAGGTCAGAGAATGAAGTGAAGGCCAGCCCGGATAAGGCGTCGGCTCGCTTATTCTGGGACCGGGGGATTCTTTGGATTTCGAATGACTTGAAGTACGTGGTGAGTTGGTGAACCTTGGAGAGGTACCGTTGCATGGTCTCATCCTTGGCCTCGTACTCACCAAGAACTTGGCGTACCACGAGCTGGGAGTCACTGCGGACGTGGATTTGTTGGGCGCCGAGTTTGCGGGCTAGCTGGAGTCCAACGATTAGAGTCTCGTACTCGGCTTCATTGTTGGTGGCCGGGAAGTCAAAGCGGAGGGCGTAGGAGCACACCTCTCCTTGAGGTCCTTCCAGGAGCAGTCCGGCTCCGCAGCCGTCTCCGTTAGAGGATCCATCGACATACAATGTCCACAGGGATGAGGTGGGCATCTCGGCTTTGGTGGAGGTGGACTCCGGACCTTCCGTGAAGGTCAGCTCGGCTAGGAAATCGGCTAGGGCTTGTGCTTTTATGGCGGTGCGTGGCTCGTAGGACAAGTCATATTCTCCCAATTCGACAGCCCACTTGGTGAGGCGACCAGAGGCTTCGGGCCGCACCAATATTTGCCGAATGGGCTGGTCGGTCCTGACGGAGATGGGATGAGCTAGAAAGTAAGGCTTCAATCGCCGAGCTGCGTGGACTAGCCCCAGCACCAGTTTTTCCACTTGAGTGTATCGAGTCTCCGGTCCTCGGAGAGCTCGGCTGACGTAGTAGAGTGGCACTTGGGTGCTCTCATCCCGGATAAGAACAGCACTGACAGCCTCGTTGGCTGCGGAGAGATAGAGGTAGAGCTTCTCCTCGGGTCGAGATGAAGCGAGAGTGGGTAGGTGATGCAAGTACTGCTTCAGCTGGTCGAAGGCAGCCTGACACTCCTCAGTCCAGGCAAATTGGTCAGCCTTCTTCAGCACCTTAAAGAAGGGCAGAGCTTTCTCAGCAGATTGGGACAGGAAGCGGTTCAACGCGGCCAGGCGTCCATTCAACATTTGGACTTCTCGGACGTTCCGAGGTGGGGACATGTCCTGAATGGCCTTGATTTTGTCGGGGTTGGCCTCGATTCCCCGGTGGGAAACCAGATACCCCAAGAATTTTCCCGAGGTGACGCCGAAGACGCACTTCTTGGGATTCAGTTTCATCCTCGAGTCTCGCAGGACCCCGAAGACTTCCCTCAAGTCTGCCAGGAAGGATGAAGTGGCGAGACTTTTGACGAGTATGTCATCCACATAGGCCTCCATATTGCGGCCGATCTGATTCTTGAAGAGTCGGTTGATCAGCCTTTGGTAGGTCGCCCCGGCGTTCTTTAGCCCAAATGGCATGGTGGTGTAGCAATAAACACTTTGGTCGGTGTAGAACGCCGTCTTCTCTTGGTCCTCTTCACTCATTCCTATTTGATGATACCCTTTGAAGGCATCTAGGAAGCAGAGGATCTCATACTCCATCGCCGAGTCGACGAGGGCGTCTATCCTCGGGAGGGGATAGCAGTATTTGGGGCAGGCCTTGTTGAGATCGGTGAAGTCTACACACATTTTTCATCCACCGGTGTCCTTTTTGACCATAACTGGGTTGGACAGTCAGGTGGGATATTGGATCTCGTGGATCATCTTGGCCGGCAAGAGCTTATCGACCTCATCCGATATGGCCTTGTTACGCTCGGGGCCGAAGTGCCTCCGTTTCTGCCGCACAGGACGTGCCTGTGGGTTGACGTTAAGTTGATGAATCATGAGGTCGGGTGGCACTCCGACCACTTCATCTGCGGACCACGCGAAGATGTCTCGGTGGTCCTTGATCAGGGAGATCATTTCTTCTTTCAGGGGTGAGGGGAGTCCGGCCCCTACTTGGACCACTTGGTCAGGTTTGGCTTCATCCAAGACCACTTGTTCCACCTCATCCCCGGGCTCAAGCCTGCCGGGTTCTCCTGCCTTGTGAGGGTCGATACAGTCTATGGAGAGGACAGCCGGCCTCTTTTCTTCTGACCTCGGTGGGGGCTGAGGTCCGACTGCAGTTTGGATGGTGGGGAGGTAGAATTCTCGGGCGGCGCCCACGTCGCTGCTCACCTCGGCCACCCCCGCAGGTGTTGGGAATTTGAATCTCAAGTGGTAGGTTGAGTACACAGCTCTCAAGGCATTGAGCGTGGGCCGGCCTATCAGCATGTTGTAAGGGGAGTCCGTTTTGATCACAGCAAAGCTGATAGGCATAGTTCGGCAACGGGGATGACGCCCGATAGTCACCATTAAATTCACCATGCCCTCCGGGTGGACGACGTGTCCCCCGAAGCCGACAAGGGGAGTTCTGACCGGAGTGAGTTGTTCCCGGGTTAGCTTCAAACTCTCGAAATTTCGGTAGTACAGGACGTCTACCGAGCTTCCGGGGTCAACGTAGACTTTTTTGACTATATAATTATTTGTAAGGACCTCGATCACGAGGGTCTCGTGATTGCTGGAGGCAGCAGGGACAGGGTCGCGGGGACCATAAGTTATCACCTCGGACAGCCTCGAGCTCGGCTCGGCCACATCCATGCCGGCTTGGCGGTAGGTCCGCTTTCGGGAGTTCTGGCTGTCTCCTCCTGTGGGGCCACCTGAGATGGTGTTGATCACCCCGACAATGTTTGGGCCGTAGCCTGGTGATCCGTCACGTGGAGGCCTCTGATCCCCCTTGTGGTCCTCAGGACCTCGGCAATTAAGCTTGGTGTCCCGCCTGTCTTCTCGACGAGGACCTCGGCTCTCCCTGTGGGAGGCACTTCGGCCGAAGCCTCCATCTTTGCGGACAAATTGTTTCAAGTGTCCCTGTCGAATCAGGTTTTCGATCTCTCGCTTCAGATCGTTGCAATCTTCGGTCTCGTGCCCAACGTCTCGGTGGTAGGCACAGTAGAGGTTGGAGTTCCTCTTATCTCTCCTCCCAGAGATCTCAGGAGGAGTTCGGCCGAGGTGATTCTGTCTCATCACGGCCAAGGCATGAGATCGGTTGGAATTGAGAGGTGTCAGCTCAGCGTCCGAGGTGGACGATCGGCCTCTCACGATCCGGTCGAAGACACTCCGGCGGTGTCGGAGTGGGTTTGAAGTGCTACTTGGGCCGGGTTCACCTCGGCCAGTGTCTTTCCTCCTCCGGGGATCTTGCCCCGTACGAGATGCTTGGGCTTCTCGCTTCATGCGGTTCACATCCTCATTTCGGATTCCCTGGTCCACTCTATCCCAGAGTTCCCGAAGTGTACGAGGGTACTCCCGATGGATTTCAGTGTTGAATATTCCCGCCACCAATCCGTTGGTAAAGGCCGCGATAGTTACCTGCTCGTTCTGGTCAGGTATCTGCACATTCTTCTCGTTGAACCTTTGAGTATACGAGCGAAGGGACTCGCCCTGACCCTGTTGCAGGTTCAAGAGGTATGCTGAAGTTTTGGTGATTGGTCGAGATGATACAAAGCGGTGGATGAACCGGTCTATCAGCTCGTCCAGGGAGGAAATGCTCCCTGGTTCCAGACTCCAGAACCACTTCCGGGCAGTCCCATGTAGGAAGATGGGGAAATTTCGGCAGATCACAGCGTCGGGGACGCAGTAGAGTCGGAATGCGGAGATGAAGGCGCGGAGGTGATCCTCGGGGTCATTTCGGCCATCGTAGGTGTGCAAGTTTGGGAGCTTGAAGTTCGGGGGCACCATCTCCCCGTTGATGTCATCCGTAAAGGGCGGAGCCCTCATGTAGTCAGAAGCTAGACCCCCGGGGCGCCGAGGTGGGTCCTCATCTCGTTTCCCTAGCAGTCCCCGGGAAAACGCCCGGGAGATGGAGGCAAGTTTAGAGGTCGCCTTGGAGGAGGCGCGCCTGGAAGTACTCCGTGAGAGACGCCCCTCATCAGAGTCCTTATCTGAGGGTACCTCAGGGGACTTCGTCGGCCTCCTCTTGGAAGACTCGGCCTTTTCTTTCCCCTGCCTTTTGAGGTACCTTCCTAACTCCTCAAAAATGGTAGGGTTGTGCGATACGAACTCGGCCATCTTGGCGATGGCGTCTTCATTGTTGGGATGGGTCCTTTGGGACCCTGGTTCTTCAGAGATGCGGTCTTGCTGGGCTCCCGAGGTCTGCCCAGCCCCGTTTGAGAGAACTCTTCCGCTTCTGGAGCGCGTGGATCTCATTTTTAGTAGTGGTCTCGTTCCCACAGACGGCGCCAATTGAGGAGGTGATTTTTGGCTGGTAACTAGACCGACCTGGATCAGTCCTCTCTGAGATGAAGTGAGGTGAACTCCTGTGTCCGAAGTGAACCTCCTTGTCCGAAGTGAGTGGCGGGGCTTCTCCCCTGGTATCACTCCGACGATCAAGTTAGTATGAGAACGAGAATAATGAGAATGAGTTAATGAACAGTGTTTGCTTACTTGTTGGGAGTGTGAATGAGGTATTTATAGAAGAGTAGTGGTCAAGACGGAAGGCTCATGCTAGCGGGACCCACTCTCTGGAATTACGGCTCTGTCTCCTGTCAGGAGGTCTGACTCTGACACTGTAGCCGCCTGGGAGTGATGACGGAGGGTATGGTGCAGGTGCCATTAAGTGCCTCCAGTGCTTTTCAGATAAAGTGCTGGTCCTGGATGATGTCAGGTGGGTTGACATCATTAGCGTGCAGTCGAGGTGGATGTGCCGAGGTCGTCCACACGGTAGACTAGGGATGTAGCCGAGCTCAGGGGTTACGCTCAAGATAGGGATGAGCTCTCATGAGGGATGAGGCTCGGGTTCACCTCGGACACGCGGGGTGGCCGAGGTGAGCATCCTCACCAAGCATGAGTTATTCATCACAAAAGAGAACGAGTGCGATAAAATACACACTTGAGGATGCTCACCTCGGCCACCCCGCGTGTCCGAGGTAAACCCGAGCCTCATCCCTCATCAGAGCTCATCCCTGTCTTGAGCGTAACCCCTGAGATCAGCTACATCCCTAGTCTACCGTGTGGACGACCTCAGCACATCCACCTCGGCACATCCACCTCGGCTGCACGCTGATGATGTCAACCCACCTGACATCATCCAGGACTAGCACTTTATCTGAAAAGCACTGGAGGCACTTAATGGCACCTGCACCATACCCTCCGTCATCACTCCCAGGCGGCTACAGTGTCAGAGTCAGACCTCCTGACAGGAGACAGAGCCGTAATTCCAGAGAGTGGGTCCCGCTAGCATGAGCCTTCCGCCTTGACCACTACTCTTCTATAAATACCTCATTCACACTCCCAACAAGAAAGCAAACACTGTTCATTAACTCATTCTCATTATTCTCGTTCTCATACTAACTTGATCGTCGGAGTGATACCAGGGGAGAAGCCCCGCCACTCACTTCGGACAAGGAGGTTCACTTCGGACACAGGAGTTCACCTCACTTCATCTCAGAGAGGACTGATCCAGGTCGATCTAGTTACCAGCCAAAAATCACCTCCTCAATTGGCGCCGTTTGTGGGAACGAGATCACTACTAAAAATGAGATCCACGCGCTCCAGAAGCGGAAGAGTTCCCTCAAACGGGGCTGGGCAGATCTCGGGAGCCCAGCAAGACCGCATCTCTGAAGAACCAGGGTCCCAAAGGACCCAGCCCAACAACGAGGATGCCATCGCCAAGATGGCCGAGTTCGTATCGCACAACCCTACCATTTTTGAGGAGTTAGGAAGGTACCTCAAAAGGCAGGGGAAAGAAAAGGCCGAGTCTTCCAAGAGGAGGCCGACGAAGTCTCCTGAGGTACCTTCAGGTGAAGACTCCGATGAGGGGCGACTCTCTCGGAGTACCTCCAGGCGCGCCTCTTCCAAGGCGACCTCTAAGCTTGCCTCCATCTCCCGGGCGTTTTCCCGGGGACTACTAGGGAAACAAGCTGAGGACCCACCTCGGCGCCCCGGTGGACTAGCTTCTGACTACATGAGGGCTCCGCCCTTTACGGATGACATCAACGGAGAGATGGTGCCCCCGAACTTCAAACTCCCAAACTTGCACACCTACGATGGCCGAGGTGACCCCGAGGATCACCTCCGCGCCTTCATCTCCGCATTCCGACTCTACTGCGTCCCCGACGCTGTGATCTGCCGAAATTTCCCCATCTTTCTACATGGGACTGCCCGGAAGTGGTTCTGGAGTCTGGAACCAGGGAGCATTTCCTCCCTGGACGAGCTGATAGACCGGTTCATCCACCGCTTTGTATCATCTCGACCAATCACCAAGACTTCAGCATACCTCTTGAACCTGCAACAGGGTCAGGGCGAGTCCCTTCGCTCGTATACTCAAAGGTTCAACGAGGAGAATGTGCAGATACCTGACCAGAACGAGCAGGTAACTATCGCGGCCTTTACCAACGGATTGGTGGCGGGAATCTTCAACACTGAAATCCATCGGGAGTACCCTCGTACACTTCGGGAACTCTGGGATAGAGTGGGCCAGGGAATCCGAAGTGAGGATGTGAACCGCATGAAACGAGAAGCCCAAGCATCTCGTACGGGGCAAGATCCCCGGAGGAGGAAAGACACTGGCCGAGGTGAACCCGGCCCAAGTAGCACTTCAAACCCACTCCGAGACCGCCGGAGTGTCTTCGACCGGATCGTGAGAGGCCGATCGTCCATCTCGGACGCTGAGCTGACACCTCTCAATTCCAACCGATCTCATGTCTTGGCCGTGATGAGACAGAATCACCTCGGCCGAACTCCTCCTGAGATCCTTGGGAGGAGAGATAAGAGGAACTCCAACCTCTACTGTGCCTACCACCGAGACGTTGGGCACGAGACCGAAGATTGCAACGATCTGAAGCGAAAGATCGAAAACCTGATTCGACAGGGACACTTGAAACAATTTGTCCACAAAGATGGAGGCTTCGGCCGAAGTGCCTCCCACCGGGAGAGCCGAGGTCCTCGTCGAGAAGACAGGCGGGACACCAAGCTTAATTGCCGAGGTCCTGAGGACCACAAGGGGGATCAGAGGCCTCCACGTGACGGATCACCAGGCTACGGCCCAAACATTGTCGGGGTGATCAACACCATCTCAGGTGGCCCCACGGGAGGAGACAGCCAGAAATCCCGAAAGCGGACCTACCGCCAAGCCGGCATGGATGTGGCCGAACCGAGCTCGAGGCTGTCCGAGGTGATAACCTATGGTCCCCGTGACCCTGTCCCCGCCGCCTCCAGCAATCACGAGACCCTAGTGATTGAGGTCCTCACCAATAACTACATAATCAAAAAGGTTTACGTTGACCCCGGAAGCTCGGTAGACGTCATGTACTACCGAACTTTCGAGAGTTTGAAGTTGACCCGGGAGCAACTCACTCCGGTCAGAACTTCCCTTGTCGGCTTCGGGGGACACGTCGTCCACCCGGAGGGCATGGTGAATTTAATGGTGACTATCGGGCGTCATCCCCGTTGCCGAACTGTGCCTGTCAGCTTTGCTGTGGTCAAAGCGGACTCTCCTTACAACATGCTGATAGGCCGGCCCACGCTCAATGCCTTGAGAGCCGTATATTCCACCTACCACCTGAGTTTCAAGTTTCCAACGCCAGAGGGGGTGGCCGAGGTGAGCAGCGTCGTGGGCGCCGCCCGAGAATGCTACCTCGCCACCATCCAAACCGCAGTCGGACCTCAGCCCCCGCCGAGGTCAGAAGAAAAGAGGCCGGCTGTCCTCTCCATAGACTGCGTCGACCCTAAAAAGGCAGGAGAGCCCAACAGGCTTGAGCCTGGGGATGAGGTGGAACAAGTGGTCTTGGATGAAGCCAAACCAGACCAACTGGTCCAAGTAGGGGCCGGACTCCCCTCACCCCTGAAAGAAGAAATGATCTCCCTGATCAAGGACCACCGAGACATCTTCGCGTGGTCCACAGATGAAGTGGTCGGAGTGCCACCCGAGCTCATGACTCACCAACTCAACGTTAACCCACAGGCCCGACCTGTGCGGCAGAAATGAAGGCACTTCGGCCCCGAACGCAGCAAGGCCATATCGGACGAGGTCGACAAGCTCTTGCCGGCCAAGATGATCCACGAGATCCAATATCCCACCTGGCTGTCCAACCCAATTATGGTAAAAAAGGACACCGGTGGATGGAGAATGTGTGTAGATTTCACCGACCTCAACAAGGCCTGCCCCAAAGATTGCTATCCCCTGCCAAGGATAGACGCCCTCGTCGACTCGGCGATGGGGTATGAAGTCCTCTGCTTCCTAGATGCCTTCAAAAGGTATCATCAAATAGGAATGAGTGAAGAGGACCAAGAGAAAACGGCGTTCTACACCGACCAAGGTACTTATTGTTATACAACCATGCCATTCGGGCTAAAGAACGCCGGGGCGACATACCAGAGATTGATCAATCGCCTCTTCAAAAACCAGATCGGCCGTAATGTGGAGGCCTACGTGGACGACATCCTTGTCAAGAGCCAGGCCACTTCGGCCTTTTTATCCGATTTGAGGGAAGTCTTCGGTGTCCTGCGGGATTCGAGGATGAAATTGAATCCAAAGAAGTGCGTGTTCGGCGTCACCTCCGGAAAATTCTTGGGGTATCTGGTTTCCCACCGGGGAATCGAGGCCAATCCCGACAAGGTCAAGGCCATTTAATATATGTCCCCACCTCGGAACGTCCGAGAAGTCCAAAGATTGAATGGACACCTGGCCGCGCTGAATCGCTTCCTGTCCCAATCCGCCGAGAAAGCTCTGCCCTTCTTCAAGGTGCTGAAAAAGGCTGACCAATTTGCCTGGACTGAGAAGTGTCAGGCTGCCTTCGACCAGTTGAAGCGGTACTTGCATCACCTACCCACTCTCGCTTCACCTCGGTCCGAGGAGAAACTCTACCTCTATCTTTCCGCAGCCGACGAGGCTGTCAGTGCTGTTCTTATCCGGGATGAGGGCACCCAAGTGCCAGTCTACAACGTCAGCCGAGCTCTCCGAGGGCCGGAGACTCGATACACTCAAGTGGAAAAACTGGTGCTGGGGCTAGTCCACGCAGCTCGGCGATTGAAGCCTTACTTTCTAGGTCATCCTATCTCCGTCAGGACCGACCAACCCATTCGGCAAATATTGGTGCGCCCCGAGTCTTCCGGTCGCCTCACCAAGTGGGCTGTCGAATTGGGAGAGTATGACCTGTCGTATGAGCCCCGCACGGCCATAAAAGCTCAAGCTCTGGCTGACTTCCTTGCTGAGCACACCTTCACGGAAGGTCCGGAGTCCACCTCAGCCTTAGCCGAGGTGCCCACCCCCTCCCTGTGGACATTGTATGTGGATGGATCCTCTAACGGAGACGGCAGGGGAGCCGGACTTCTCCTGGAAGGATCTCAGGGAGAGGTGTGCTCCTACGCCCTTCGCTTTGGCTTCCCAACCACCAATAATGAAGCCGAGTACGAGGCCTTAATTGCTGGACTCCAGCTGGCCCGAAGGCTCGGCGCCCAGCAAATCCACGTCCGCAGTGACTCCCAACTTGTTGTGCGCCAAGTTCTTGGTGAGTATGAGGCCAAGGATGAGACCATGCAACGATACCTCTCCAAGGTTCACCAGCTCACCGCGTACTTCGAGTCTTTCGAAATCCAAAGAATACCCCGGTCCCAGAATAAACGAGCCGACGCCTTGTCCCGGCTGGCTTCCACCTCATTCTCTGACCTCAACAAAACAGTCTTGGTGGAAGTCCTGAGTGAACCAGGATACATGGAAGAGGTGGCCTGCCCCGTCCACTCCGAAGATACTTGGATGACCCCGTTCATCCTCTTCCTGAGTCAGGGAACCCTTCCCGAAAACCGAGCCGAGGCGAGAAAGATACAACGCAAGGCTGCTCGGTATGCACTTCGTGATGGGGAACTGTACAAGCGCTCCTACCTCGGCCCCTGGCTGAGGTGCGTCACCCCCGAGGTCGGACGTCATATCCTCCACGAGATCCACGAAGGCCTGTGCAGAGCTCACGTCGGCCACAGGATGTTAGCCAAGAAGACTATACTCCTTGGATACTTCTGGCCATCACTTCGGCAAGACGCCTAGGACCTCGTTTTCGGCTGTCCTTCCTGCCAAGTTCACGCACCCGAGCATCACCAGCCCTCTAATTTCATGGTCCCCATCACTTCACCCTGGCCGTTTGAGCAATGGGGGACAGACATCATAGGTCCTTTCCCTAAAGCCGTCGGGGATTATACCTTCTTGGTGACCGCTGTGGATTACTTCACTAAGTGGGTCGAGGCCGAGCCACTTCGGACCATCTCGGGGCTGGCCATTCAAAAATTCTTTTGGAAATGCATTATTTGCCGCTTCGGCATACCCCAGGTCATCATCTCGGATAATGGAAGGCAATTTGCCGAGAACCCCTTTAAATCCTGGTGCGCAAACCTCGGCATCAAACAACACTTCACTTCGGTAGGCCACCCTCAGGCCAATGGTCAAGCAGAAAACTTCAACCGGACTCTCCTGCATGGCCTCAAGACCCGACTACACCGAGTTGGGTCATCTTGGGTGGAGGAACTCCCCAGTGTCTTGTGGTCATATCGGACCACGCCGAGGTCAGCGACGCAAGAAACCCCATTCTCCCTGACCTACGGCGCCGAGGCTGTCATCCCGGCTGAGATCCTTACTCCCAACCCTCGGCTGGCAGCCTATGCCGCCGAGGTGAACGACGAAGAGAGGCTGCTAGACCTCGACCTCGTCGAAGAACGAAGGGACCTCGCCTCAGCCCGGATAGCTTCATACAAGAACACACTGGCACACTATTACAATGCCCGTGTCAGACATCGTAGATTCCGTCCTGGAGACTTGGTTCTCAGGAAAAATTCAGTCAGCCGAGCTGAGCCGCAAGGGAAATTATGCCCGAAATGGGAAGACCCTTACCGAGTTGTGAAATCTGACCCTAAAGGGTATTGTAAACTGAGTTACCGAGATGGCTGATTAGTGCCGAGGTCTTGGCACGCCGAGAACCTTAGGTTGTATTATGCTTGAAGTTGTGACTTCATTCAGTTATTTCATCAAAGTTGACTTCATCCAGTTATCTTGTCAAGTTATGACTTCAGCTATTTAGTTATTTTTCAATAATATGATGCCCAGCATCCGTTATTAAAAAATAAGGGGGACAAACAAGGGATGAACTCAAAGTAAGAAACAAAAAGCGCTGAGATGAGAAGAAAAAGGCTTTCATTCAATAGAAAAGAGTGCTACAAAAAATACAAGGCTGAGGTCCGAATGCTACTAAGCACTCTCCACCTCGGCCACCCCCTAAAGCCTATGAGCCTAGATCCCCGTCTCGGCTCCATCTCCGGTCTTGGCTCCCTCCTGGGCAGCCTTCTCTTCGGCCTCTTATCCGCCGGGGTGTTCATCTCCATGCTCTTTGCCGATGTCCCCTCCGACTCCGTCCCCTCCGGCTTCGTCTCCCTCAGCATCCTCTCCTCCAGCTTCTTCTACCTCCACCTCCTCGAACACTTCGTCGAGTTCGGACAGCCACTTGTTGAACTCGACCTGGACTTCGGCCAAGTTCCTTCCTGTCTGGATGCCTTCGGCCATCCGATCGCATAGCTCCTTGGAGTCCTCGTTATAGCTGGCATGGTTTTTCAGAGACTCCAAGACTTCGGAGGGGAGGTGAGCCGCAGCCTCATCTATGGCTGAGGTAAAGCCAAACATGAAGTTCGGTGTGAGTAGCTGCCCGAGATCTTTGATGAAGGTCTCGGACCTTCGAAATGTGTCCACCGCCGAGGCCCTAGCACTGTTGAGAGCTTGTTCATGGGACTTCTTCACCTCCTCCCCCCTCTTCTGCTCTTCCTCGAGGGTCGATCTGAGGCTGTTGACAGTGGCCACGGCCTCCTCATCCTTCGCCTCGGCCTCCTTAAGCCGCCTTTCAAGCTCGGCCTTCTCAGACTCGGACACCGCCAATTTTTTCTCCAACTTGGAGATCTGATTCTGTAGCTTGCCGGTGTCCTGCTCATCGACCAGAGCACAATATCGGTGTGTCATCTCGGCCGCAAAGGCTGAGGTGGAAGCCGTGGTCACCATAAGACTTTGCACCAGCTCGGCGGGGGAAAGTTTCTTCATGAACTCCAAATCCCTTGGCAAGGGGGAGTGCATGACTAGTTCTCGGGCAACCCGAGGATTCTGGCACCTGTCGTTGACCGAAATCTTCCAGTCCGGACACCAATGCCCGCCGGGGTGCGTTTTATCTTCCCCGGGAAACACCGGGGGGCTATGGAAACGATTCCATAGCGAGGTCCCCGAAACTGGATTGACCGGAGCCTTTAACTGCTTGCCTCGGCCATGAGGAGGCGGAAGTGCCGCGACGGCTCCAAAGGGCACCCCCTCTGGCACAGACGAGGTGGACCCGGTAGCCGCGGCGGCTGAGCTGCTTTGGCCTGCCGGGGTGGGAGTACTTTTGGCTGCCGAAGTCTGGATAGCCAATCCTTGTGACTTCTTCTTCTTTGGCGGAGGTGCCGATGTCTCGTCAGTGCTCTTCCTCTTCTGCCTCTTGGCCACTTCGGACGAGCCAGAGACGACGAGGTCGGACAGTTTAGTCACTGCACAAGAAATAAATATTATCATATGCTTTAGCCGAAATGAAAAAAAAAAGTCATGAAAGAAAATTACAAGGCTTCTTAAGTTCAGTGGAAAAGAAGGGAGTTTTGGTAGTATTGATCACGGCTCGACTTATCCCCCCATCCACGAGCACGGTTTCGGGGTAGTTATGGCTGAACAGCCGAAGTCCCGACTTCATCAACTTCTGGAAGGACTCCTCTTCGGCATCCCCCGCAGAGGGGTCGGCCTTCGCTTTAATTGGCCTCCACCAAAAACCCCTCGGGAAATCCACTCCGGACACGAAGAAGTAGTCGCGCTTCCAGTTCTTGATCGAGCTGGGAGCACCGATCACCAACTTCGGGATGGCATTGTTCCTGTTGCCAACATAAAACCATCCCTTATCCGTCGCGTGCGCCTTGAGGGTGTAGCATCGGCGGAAGAGATCGACGGAGGGAGTCACCTCCTGATGTCGGCACAGCATCTCAAACCCCACAATGATGCGGATCGCATTCGGGGTGAGCTGGGTGATTCTCACCCGGAAGTGACGAAGTAAGTCCCGGAAGAACCTCGACGTCAGCATCCTCAGCCCGGCCTCCAGCTGTTGAACGTAGATGGCCACCATGCCAAAGGGGGGCTCCGCGGCTGTGTCATCCACCTCGGGCGGCAAAATTTCGTACCACGGCCGGAAGGGGTACTTGTCTACCACCTTCACGGCCCTATCTCTTCCTACGCGACTCCTAAACTTCGGGATCTGGCCGAAGTCGATGTTGGCTGCGTCCACTGGAGCAACTGGCTCCGGTACGCCCTCGTCAGGGGGTATCTCGGTCCCGAGTTCGGTATTGTATTCGACCTCGGAGCCACCCTCGCTCATCTCGGACGATTCCAATCCCGAGTCTGCCTCGCCGACTCTCACTTCGGTTGATCCTTCTTCAGAACTCGGTGTCGACCCCTCCGAGCTGGATGTCGTCGCTTCTTCTTCTGGACCCGGCCTCACCTCGGTCTGGTAGCTCGGTGTCACGGTTTCCTTGTGGGTTTTAGTCGTTTTGGCCATGAGTGAAAGACGAGATAAGAAAGAAAAGGGATACTTACTATTGTCTACGGAACTGGACGAAGTGGATGACTTCGGCTGTGATCTCGGCTGGCAGGATTGATCTCGGCAACAGACGTAAATTTGGCAAGTCCCAGGCAGAGGAAGAAAATGATGGGCCATGCGGTGAAAAGGACCCCCTATTTATAGGGGATGGCCAGAATCCGAAGAGGCGGCAAGAATACGAAAAGACGACCACGTTCGAATTCAAAACGTCGTGGCACACTCTCTCTTCATTAATGACCCGTCCTTTCGACTGACACCCCATCATCGCGAAACGTCCCACTACTTCACGACGTGACGGTTACGTGCCAACTGACTCCAAGTCCCTTCAACTGACATGCCCACGTGTCACGCCCCCGCATCTTTCGGAGCAGGTTCGGGACCCCAACTCTTCATGGTTTCGGCACAAGGAAGCCTCGGTACCTCCCTGGCCCGAAACTCCCGAGGCTTGGGGGGCTTATTGAGGATGCTCACCTCGGCCACCCCGCGTGTCCGAGGTGAACCCGAGCCTCATCCCTCATTAGAGCTCATCCCTGTCTTGAGCGTAACCCCTGAGCTCAGCTACATCCCTAGTCTACCGTGTGGACGACCTTGGCACATCCACCTCGGCACATCCACCTCGGCTGCACGCTGATGATGTCAACCCACCTGACATCATCCAGGACCAGCACTTTATCTGAAAAGCACTGGAGGCACTTAATGGCACCTGCACCATACCCTCCGTCATCACTCCCAGGCGGCTACAGTGTCAGAGTCAGACCTCCTGACAGGAGACAGAGCCGTAATTCCAGAGAGTGGGTCCCGCTAGCATGAGCCTTCCGCCTTGACCACTACTCTTCTATTAAGACCTCATTCACACTCCCAACAAGAAAGCAAACACTGTTCATTAACTCATTCTCATTATTCTCGTTCTCATACTAACTTGATCGTCGGAGTGATACCAGGGGAGAAGCCCCGCCACTCACTTCGGACAAGGAGGTTCACTTCGGACACAGGAGTTCACCTCACTTCATCTCAGAGAGGACTGATCCAGGTCGGTCTAGTTACCAGCCAAAAATCACCTCCTCAACACTCAACGCCATTTTTCAAAACCAAGTAGGCTAAGCAAGCAATCTAGCAAGTTAAGCATGTATCGAGTTCATATGGTCATTTGATATGGTTAATCATTTAACCAATTCATGTAGATATACAATGCAAGTATACATTCCTTAAATAGGCATGAGTTTGGTAAATATTTAGTACATAGTACTTAACATTTAATAACCATGAAATAAGTATATTCTAGACTTATTCAATTACGTATTCCAATATGGATCACTCACCTAGTCAAAACAAGCGTTTTAGGTGTCCGCTCCGAGATCCTCTTGAAGGTCCCCTCGAGTGCCTGAGCAAACAATACTCAACTGCC